ATTAGAGCTTAACTAGGAACGAGGCGGGTCACTTGGACGTATTTGGGAGCCGAATACGGTGTTTTGGAGCCAATACCTGGGAAACCCTACCCGCCCAATGCGAGTTTTTAAGAGTCTGCATGCCCAAATTAACGTTGAGCGCGGCCGTTTTCGGTCGGTTTTCCGCGACCTTGTGGCGAAATCGCCTTATTTATTCAACCAGGGTGGGCTAATTCGCTTAACTAGGAATGAGGCGTTGAAGAGAATTATTCAAGGAATAGAGCTGTGCAAAAATATTTTTTGTATTGTTAAAACTGTATCCGCCCTCGAACGATAAATATTGTTGATCCATCAGAAACACAGCCCCTGGAATGCGTTTGGACTTGGCTGGATCTAATATTAGCGAGTATCTGCTAATGCAGTTTCTTGGCTTACACAGTACGCACACAAGCATACATACTTCCTGCCCTTGGTTATTCCTCACTTGAATGAAAATTTTGCTATAATAACTATTCCAAGCAGTTAACAGGTTTTAGTGCAGTGCCAAGTCGGACCGTTCAGCGCCGACAGTCTCCCAGGCGGCGCGTAACGGGCGCCGCCGGCCGCCGCGCCGCCGCTCTGGCAGGATGTTTGACTTCATAGCTCTGTTGCTAGAAAAGTTGTGGACCGATTTACTTGATTCTTGCATGAAAAGATCCGCCATTCAATTCTTAGCACATAACGAAAATTTGACGTCAATTGCACGATCCGCTGCCCATATCGTGGTACTGCCATCTATTGACAAGGCTGGCGAACTAAAGCCGGGCGGCTATTTCCACTTTTGACACACCATGTACTGAGATTTTCCCGTTATATTGAAAAGACTTCGCTTCGCTCGCTGCGCTCGCTCGCTCGTAACAAGTGTTTCCCCGAAAAGAAAACCAAGCCCCGTTTCTTTTCCCAATCCCTCAATGTAGCCTTTTGAAATAGACGGGCTAAGCGACGAACGGCGCAAAGTCGTTATAATAAATGTAATCGGACCGCCTCCTCGGTACACCAGGCATTATTCGGTGTGCCTTGCCAAGGGTGTTTATATTTAATGCACTCGCAGGCTCGTGCATTAAATGCAAAAATAACACTCATTTCATTCGTTACGGAGCGAGCGAAGCGAGCGGAGTCTCATACTGAATTAAGGGAAAATCCTGAGTATGAGCGGCCGGCCGGCCGGCCGTGGGACGCTCTTCAAAAGCTAATATCTTAGGAACGGGACATCCGATTGACAAGCGGTCTTCTTTACTGAATGTCACTTGGACGTAAAAGTTCTGTGGTGTGATGGCCACCATGCGTTCTTGCCAAACACCGCACGTGGCGCGTGGTAAAGTTGGACATTTTTTAAGAACCCCCAAAATTGCAATCTCAATAACGGCACAACGGTTGGGCCGATTGAATTGAAACTCGGTACACAGTTAGGTCTCCATCAGATAATTCATCTGCATGTGTTAAGGTTGGGGTGCTACAGCACGTGCGCACGTGCAGGGGGCGCTCCCAGATCTCGAGAACGGCTGGGTCGATTGCGCTCAAATTTGGTACACGGTTGGAGACCAGTTAGTAGGGTGCCGTGCAAAAGTCAGTTTGGACCCCGCTTGCACGTGCGCACGTGCAGTGTGCCGCTTCCAGATCTCGAGAACGGCTAGGCCGATTGCGCTGAAATTTGGCACATCGCTAAAGACCGGTTAGTAGGGTGCAGTGCACAAGTTAGTTGGAGGTACCCCCTCGCAATTTCGCACGTGCAAGGCCCATCCTCTCGCTCGCTCCGTTGGTCGCCCAAAAGGCGTTTTACTGGTGTTATTTTTGAAAATAATCATGCCCTCACTCCGTTCGGGCATTATTAAAAACACCCTTGGCTAGGCACACCGAATAATACCTGGTATACCGAGGGCGCGGTCCGATTAAATATATATTAATCGCAATCCGTTATCGCTTGTTGTCTTATCTGCGTTTGATATGTCCACTGATGCCTTGGGCCTAAGTTATTGCGTAATGCGTTATTATTTGACAGTTGTAGTCCTTTCCTCGAAAAAACATGTAAAATATTAACAATATAATGTATTTCACGAAAGTTTAGCCATAGGGCATCAACAAAGTACGATTACATAAAAAAGAAAAGACTCTTGCAAGAGCACTGGAAAATTCACGTTAATCACTAGGAATATTATACCTTCTTCTTGTTCTTACGTCGTGGCAAATTATTCATGTATTATGTTCCTTGGATATCCAGTTGTTGTGCCATTCTGAGTTGATATTTTCAGACAGATTCTGTTGACAATTCAACTTGACTCAACTCTCAACTCTCAAATAAATCCGAAAAAATCTCCGACACAGACCTGGAGACACGTGGCTCAAGCCATTTCAATGCGTATATATATTGAATCAGACGATTCCTGCGCACCACATCACATTTCTCAGGCCACGTCGACGACCGTCGAAACACTAAACCACTGCTAAAAAAATAGTCGCTGAATCGCTGCCAAGAGAAGCGTTCACTAAATTCCGTAACATCCTCCCCCCTGAAATGCGAACTTCAGAGGGCGCGTTTCACACAGGTACGGAACCGATCTTACAACGACAGATCCATAGTTCACAGCGAACAAGACTGCATCACTTAATTCAATTCAGACAGATTCAGACAGACAATCTGAGTCAAACGCATCAGTCTACAAATGCAAACGTAAATCGATTCACCACTCTTCAAACAAACAAACGCCAACCTCGACGCAAACGACATCAAACTTGTCACATCACCAGGGCCACTTGCACCCTGCACTCTGCGAGCCACCACACGCAACTGTCAACTCAGCGCGTCCTCTGCACGCCGCCTCACTGCTCAGAGCGACATCTACAGTCGGCGCCCAACACTACCTTGCCTGCAGACGAGAGAAAAACAAACTAACACTGCTGACGAACACTGCGGTCTAACACCGCCGACGAATGTGAGCGGTTCACGGCTCAGAGGACAGCGGGTCGAGGTCAAAAAGCCTCTGGATGGGACGGGTTTTTAGACCAGACGGAGTCCGGACTTCTGCCGACCTCACCTTTCCGTCTCGGCCGGTGATCAGTCTCGTGACGACGCCATGTACCCACCTCATGCGCGGCACGTTATCCTCCTGCAGCATGACCATGGAGCCCTCGGACAGCTTACCTTGAGGCCTGAACCTTCTGACAGAAGGCGGCAGGGTCCTGACATACTCCTTGTACCAGACAGACCAAAATCTAGCCAGACGCTTCTCACACACACGAGCTCTCTCAGTTTCAGCTCCTTCTTCAGTTTCTCAGCTCCTTCGCATTCACACAGGCAGGGTCCTCCACCACCCGCGAGGAGAACCCGGTCCCTCTGCCCGTCAGAAAGTGCGCCGGGGTGATCGGGGGGCTCGAGTCCAGTCCATCACCAACAAACGTCAATGGACGGGAGTTAACACAACACTCAACTTCTAACAACACAATCTCCAGCTCATCCCGCGACAGACAGCGTGACCCAAGCGACTTGCGCAGGCCCACTTTCACGGAACGGATGAGCCGTTCCCACCATCCGCCCCACCACGGCGAATGCGGTACAATGAAGCGCCACTCAGGCGCCAGATGACTGTAGACACGCTGCAGCTGCTTATCAGCTCCCCTGAAAGTAGGTGCGTTGTCAGAGTACATGATCCTTGGTAGACCGCGCCTGGCTGAAAAACGCCTGAGTGCTAGCGTGAATGCCGGTAACGACAGGGCGTCAGTCATTTCAAGGTGAACGGCACGCGTGACAGCACACGTGAACAGGCACACGTAAAACTTCTTCCGTGGAAAATCGACGCTGAACAGGGGACCACAAAAATCAACACCAGTCACTGTGAATGGAGGGGACTGAGTCACTCTGCAGCCCGGCAGAGGCGCCGCCTCCTCGTTGAACGGTCGAGAATCGTGACGAAGGCAGCTGACACAGCCGCGCTTCACACCCTTGGCGATGCAGCGCAAGCCCAAGATCCAATACGCTCCTCTGAGCGAAGTCATCATCGTTGAGACACCCGCATGTTTCAGAAGAACATGCTGCTCTCTTGCCAAAAGCACAGCCAAGTGACATTTTGGCAGCAGAATCGGGTGCTTCTCCTCGTACATCAAGTCAGAGAACTCCAGCCGACCCCTCACTCTGAGAAGTCTATCGTCAGCGATAAACGGGTCGAGACCGATCAGGCGCGAGCCCTTCGGCAGCGACTGGCGCTTCTCCAACGCGCTCCATTCTCCAGAAAACGCCTTCCGCTGCTCCTGTCGCAGCAGATCGAGCCTCGCGTCAGCTAGCTCGAGAGTCGTCAGATCAGGAAGACTGCACCTGTCAGCTGGGACACGACAGTTCCGTATAAATCGACGGACCCAGCCCGCCACACGGACAGCCTTGGACATCTTACCCCAGCGTTCAACAGGAAATACTTCCTCAAACTGTGAAGTCACCAAACAGAAGGACTCTACTTCAACCATCTCCTCAGTAATAGGATCAGACACCTTCTCGTCAAACGAACACACAGCTCCGTCCGGTGTGCACAAGGTAGCACCGGGCGAGCACACGGCAGCGCCGGGTGAGCACACAGCACCGCCAGGCGAGCACACAGCACCGCCAGGCGAGCACACGGCACCGCCGGACGAGCACACAGCACCGCCAGGCGAGCACACAGCACCGCCAGGCGAGCACACGGCTGCGCCGGGAGTGCGCACAGCCCCGTCAGGCGAGCACACGGCACCGCCGGACGAGCACACAGCACCGCCAGGCGAGCACACAGGCGTGCACACAGCACAGCCAGGCGAGCACACGGCACCGCCGGACGAGCACACAGCACCGCCAGGCGAGCACACGGCTGCGCCGGGAGTGCGCACAGCCCCGCCAGGCGAGCACGCCGCACCGCCGGACGAGCACACAGCACCACCAGGCGAGCACACAGGCGTGCACACAGCACAGCCAGGCGAGCACACAGGCGTGCGCACGGTACCGCCTGGTGAGCAGACGGGCGTGCTCACATCACCACCAGCTCGGTACACATCACCACCAGCTCGGTACACATCACCACCAGCTCGGTACACATCACCACCAAGGGAACACACGTCACCTCCACGGGGGCACACGTCACCTGCACGGGGGCACACGTCACCTCCGGGAGAACTCACAGAGACGCCGGACAAATCGTGCTGCACCAAGACAGACTGGTTCACGTCAGGTGTGTGACAGTGTGACAGCCAAGATGGCCCACTGAGCCACAGCTCTGACCTCACAAGCTCCTCAGCAGACACCCCGCGTGTGGTGAGGTCAGCCGGGTTACACTCCCCCGGACAATGCTGCCACCGTTCAGGATCCGTCAGACTCTGAATTTCAATCACTCTGTTGGCCACAAACTCCTTCCACTTACGTGGATCGGCCCTGATCCAACCCAGTGCTACCATTGAATCAGTCCAACAGAGGCACGGAGTACTGTGCGAGAGACGGAGCGCACTCCTCACGAACACGACCAGGCGGGCCGCGATCAGGCAGCCAAGAAGCTCTAGCCTAGGAAGACTAAGCTTCTTAACAGGCGCCACACGGCTCTTTGCCATCACCAGCGACACATGAAATGACCCATCCTCCAAAGGGACACGGATGTAAACGGTAGCTCCATACCCTTTGGGCGATGCATCGCTGAATGCCAGAAGCTCAGCGCCGTGGCCGTCCCTCCACGCGCTCGGCGAGTAGCGGCGCGGCACACGCAGCTCCTTCAGCACCGCCAGTCCACTCAGCCATCTGGCGAACGTCTCACGACAGGACTCCGGCAGCGGGTCATCCCAGTGCAACCCCAGCTGCCACAGCTCTTGGAAGAGAGATTTCAGAGTCATCACAAACGGGCTGATGAATCCAAGGGGATCGAACATGCGTGCGACAAAGCTGAGAACGACACGTTTTGTGGGAACAATGTCGTCAGGCAGTGACACGCCCTGGAATGCGAACAGGTCATCAGTCGGGTTCCAGATCACACCGAGCACCTTCACATGCTCACTCTCACCAAACACACCCTGCGCCTTGTCGAACAACAGGGGGCTGTTAGAGCGACACTTGGTCAACATCATGTGGGCATCTCTCATCACACGCTGAGCCTCTGAGAGCAGCGCGGAGGCCTCACTCTCGCTGTTGGCACCCGACAACAGGTCATCCACATAGAAATTCTCACGCATCTCACGAATGGCAGGAGAATCAGGGTACAGAGACAAATGATGTCTAATCGTAGCATTTAGGAGGAAGGGAGAACTACTGACACCAAAAATGACCCTCTGTGACTTCATCACACGCACACGACCGTCACAGTCCCACAGGAAACGGTGGGTGTCTTGATCCTCGACACTCAGACCGACCTGCAGAAAGGCTTTCGTGATGTCAGCGGTCACTGCGAACGGCCAGCGCCTGAAACGCAGGAGAACCTCCAGCAGGTTAGGCAGGAGGCAGGGTCCCACCTCCAAGCAATCGTTCAAAGAGACACCATTAGGCCCACGAGCGGACGCATCGAACACTGGGCGGACTTTAGTAGAGGTGCTATTCTCCTTGACTACCGGACGGTGGGGCAGGTAAAATGTAGGGTTCTGGGTTACCAGCTCCTCCACAGGCACCTCTGTAATCACCCCAGCCCCCTCCATCTCACACAGGGCACCATCATAACGGGCACGCAGGTCAGGGTCCCGCTCCAGCTTACGTCCCAGACCAGTCAGCCGCTTCTCAGCACTAGCTCGATTATCCTGCAACAGGTCAACTGCACTCTCCTTCCATGGCAGTTTCACCACATAACGACCATCAGCTGATCGTTCCACAGTGGACTCGAACGTGGTCATCACATCAGACTCATCACCAGTGGTCACATCCGTCACACCTACTCCCTCCAGTGACCACAGACGGCGCAGCGCCGACTCATGTATGTCACCCAGACACAGGAGCTGACATCCACCCTTGTGGTCATCTACGCCACTCACCTGACCGCTCAGCACCCAGCCGAACACAGTTCTCTGAGCCACCATACCCTCTCGCAGTACTCGCGTCTCCCCACTTACCAGTTGCCAGAACTGATCAACACCGACCAGAATGTCGATGTGCAGACTCTCACTCTCTAGCGGGTCAGCCAGGACTACACCATCAAGCTGATCCAGAACAGAGGCCGGCAGAAGTGGACGCGCGAGGGGGGCACATATGGCTGGAACCGCCACAGCTCTGAGGTTCTGAGGGGCAGATACAGAACCATGTGAACCACTCACACTCAGCTCATACACGTCACGGGTGGCTCTGGGAACCTTTCCTCCTCCGAACACTGCATACCCCACCTCCGTGGAGCCACACCAACGCGGCTGCACCTTGCGCACAAGCGCACTGCTCACGTAAGTAGTGTCTGAGCCAGAATCCAACAGAAGGTTGGCCTCAACAAGACTCCCCCCGTGACCCTGCACCAGCACCCTTGCTACAGGGAGCACAGAACACTTCTTAGCTCCATCACATGACAGTGACGCACCTCCACCCCCCTGGGGCCCTCCCTCCGGGGCTGCATCAGCCACCACACTGAGACTCTGAGTCTGACTAGAGTCAGACTGAGGCAGAGCAGCTGTCTGCTCCCTCTCCACACCACCTACCTCTACACGGGATGGCACTCCGACACTCTTACCCATGCACAACAATGGGTGATGGTTACCTCCACAACGATCACACATCCTACCACAGTCAGTGGCCCGATGGCCCACCTCAAGGCATGAGAAACATGCGTACAACTCACGAAGCTTCTGAAATCTCTGACGGAGATTCAGACGCTGGAACACTCTACATCTCTCAGAGACATGTCCCTTACCGCAGAAAGAGCACTTAAGCTCAGATGAGTGCAGAGCTGCCCCGGAGGGTAGACCAGGGCCGGTGCCCCGCGCCTCCGTGTACACAGACGGGCGCCGGCTAGTGACAGCAGGGTGGCTGCCCCCACCTCTCGAAGATGAAGAACCGCCGGCACTGCCAGCCCGAGCGGAGACTCCGGCACCACCAGCCCGTGAAGAAGCGCCGGCACCACTGGCTCGTGAAGATGAAGATGATGCTCCAGCACCAGCCAGTCCCACGTAGACACCAGAGCGACCTCGCCGCTCCACCTCCCTCGTCAGGAACCCGATGAGATGATCAAGATCAGCCTCCTTCTCTTCGGCTTCACGGGCCCACTCCAGGCGGACAGCATTGGGTAGTCGGGAAAGAATGATAGGATTTAGAAGGACACCATAGGACTCTCCTGTAATGCCGAGGGCTTCCAGGCTTCTGATGTGGATGAGGAGGATATCTACTAGGTCACGGAGCTTGTCCAAAGGAATAGGATCAAGGTTGAGGAGAGCTTGCACATGAGAAAATATTATTAAATCCTTGCGTCCAAACCGCTCTTGCAGAAGATCACATGTTATCTTGTAACTCTCGCTATTCAATGCGAGCCCCTCCACACATCTCTTCGCCTCACCATCCAGCAACGTTCTCAGATAGGTGAGCTTTGTGACATCTGCTAACTTCGAATCATGTACTGCGACACAAAACGCCTCCCAAAATGCAGGCCAATCTTGGGGTTTTCCAGAGAAACGGGGCAGGTCCAACCTCGGTAGCTTGGGGGTCTCACCTCGGATCCCAGCACCAGAAGCTGGTGCTGCTTGGGCTGCCAGCAATTTCATGGCCCTCGCTCTCAACATGATCAACTGGTCCAACGACCCTGAAGACTGGTCGGACAGGGTGTCCTCCTCAGATTGTTCCGACTCAAGAACCGTCTGCGCGGCTTCAAAGTTACACATCCTCCTATCAAAGAGAGTAAGCATGGTTTCCAGTTCAAAAAGATCCACATCTTTGCTTGTCTGTGCGTCACTTTGCTTTGCATCTTTGCTTGTCAGCGCGGCGCTCAGGGACTCGCCTGCACGATTCAGCCACCCTCGGGCGGCGTTCCTCGAACGCTTCAAGCGCTCTATCTCCGCCATACTCGATATCAGAACAGACTGGAAACGGGAAAGAACAACTCAGTAAATATTCCCGGGTTTCGGCACCAAAATGTTGACAATTCAACTTGACTCAACTCTCAACTCTCAAATAAATCCGAAAAAATCTCCGACACAGACCTGGAGACACGTGGCTCAAGCCATTTCAATGCGTATATATATTGAATCAGACGATTCCTGCGCACCACATCACATTTCTCAGGCCACGTCGACGACCGTCGAAACACTAAACCACTGCTAAAAAAATAGTCGCTGAATCGCTGCCAAGAGAAGCGTTCACTAAATTCCGTAACAGATTCTTTTTCAAGTAAGGTATTTTGATGCATTTTCTTCCATAAATTTCGTTTAAAGCTTTATCCAAAGCAGTAGCGCAATCACTGTTTGGAAATTATGGACAAAACAATTGTATAAAAGTGTCACCAAAACTTGTCGAAACTACTTAGCAGGTATGCGGCATGTAGGAAAAATCTTACTGACCTTTGACTGACCTCAGCTGTACGAAATTATTTGGAAACTCGGCTTGCAAAATTTTGTCTCCGGCCCTCGTGCTCCGCACTGGGGCCTCCGTCAATTTTGCAAACCTCGTTTCCAAATAATTTCGTCGGCCCGGTCAGTAATATATAATACTAGTTTTTGCCGGCAAAAATACCAACTCTTTCTAGTTATCATTTAAAGTGAAAATTGGAAGGATGGAGAGAAAGTATGGTTTCATTTCAATTATATGTTTTTTTTTGTGAATTCGGGTTGAAACCCAAATAGTCGCTTGGTGCATAGCTTGTTCATTGTTCCAATATTTTTTTTTCAGATAAAATGGCTGAAACTGGTGGAGGTGATCCAAAGGAAGAAAAGAACAAGGTATGTGGCAACGGGAACAATACACCATTTATCGGGTACTCTTGACAAGGTGGGTGAAATTTAACACGTACAGTGGAAGGGGGTGGATTTCGCCCACTCCTCCTGTTCTTCGCCAATAGCTCACGCCGTAATCATTTCATTAACGTCAAATTTTCAGAAGCTGGGTAGAATTGAATTGCTGAACTTGTCATGCAAGCAATAAGTTATCGGTCCACAACTTTTCTTGTAACAACTAACAGCCAACAGGGGTGTAAAATCAAACATCCTGCCGGGGCGGCGCGGCGGCCGGCGCCGGCCGTTACTCGTCGCCTGACTGGTAGACTGTGCCGGCGCCGGACGGTTCCGTCTTTGCATTGCGCTGCATAGTGTTGCTGCAATGAGAGAAAAGTTGACTCTTCCCAGCACATTAGGGAGAGTTGTCATTTTTGACTCTCGATGCAACTCTTCTTCGACACCAAACCCGGATAAAATCAACTGAAGCTCTCCTGTGACTATGTATTATGATCCCACAAAGATTCTTCATACTGTTATATAACCCTTCCAATGCTCTTCGAAAACACACTATAATTCTGAACACTCTTTCAATACTCCTGTTCTGGTAGAATTCTATCAAAACTCTGCGTCGATCCATCATACTGTTGCCTATGCTTCTAAAATAGGTACTCGTTTATAACAAAAGTATCCGCAAAATCTCGTAAAACTCTTCTACAATATACAAATCCAAACCGATTCCTATAATTATTTCAGACGGATCACCACCGACGGAAACATCCAACCATTTTCGTTTGAATTTAATACCAACGTGAGCCGAGCACAACTTTTAGCGAACCCTTATAAAGGCATGCAAACAAAATGCATCCTCTCCTTCCATGTGACATATAAGTGCATGTATGGCCTAAACTTTTGAATTCATTTTAAAAGAGATAAAACGCAAAAATTACCCAACGTTTCGCATTTATTGCTTAGTCATGGGTGTTAGAGTGCGGTTGTGACACTTTGATGAAAATTTTCATCATATGAAAATTGCATCTGAATCACACACTTGTTGGAGGAGAGGTCTTTTTCTGGGATGAATCGCCTTTCTTCAAATGATGAGAAACTCCTGTACCTCGCTTGCTCTTTTATTGCTCCATTTAGGGCGAAGCTTGCTTGGCGCTGAGTTCGTGAGGACTTGACACCCATGACTAAGCAATAAATGCGAAACGTTGGGTAATTTTTGCGTTTTATCTCTTTTAAAATGAATTCAAAAGTTTAGGCCATACATGCACTTATATGTCACATCTGCCATTTGATAATTATCCTCTCCTTCCATGTAACTTATCCCGCGCACCGACGGGGTCGGACCCGGAACCGACGGGGGGGCGGTTGACCCCCCCCCCCCTGAGATATCGAGAAAGAAGCAAGATAGAGACAAGCGGTAAACGGCATGGGGTACGCACGGACAAGGCCTACATTTCTTACTAAGGCCATTTTCAAGTCAGGTCAAAGATGACGTCACACGGGTCAAAAAATTAAAATGGCGGCGCTAGATATGAGAGTTTTCCTCGAATAACTTTCGAAGTAGCCAAGCTAGGAACAAACTAAGGGCACCATCGTGATCCTCTCGTCAATCCGCATCGCATGATATACTACATGTGTTGACTTCGAAAGGTCAAGGTCAAAGGTTGACTTCAGGGTCACGTGACCTCATGTACAGTCCACAGCAGAAGTAGGGTGAAGTCGTATAAGAGTACGCACTAAGTGGATTTCTTGCTCTCATTTGTTTAATATTTGAAAGAAAGAAATCGCAAATAGGGAATATTAAAGTTCATTGAATTATCCATCAATCCATGGGGCAACGATCCTTCAGCGTAAATGGAAGTGGTCTAAAACTGACATTTTCTGAACCGCTGCAGTTGCGTACTCTTACCATATGGGGTGTGTAAGAGTACCTACGCACGCCAGGCGGGTGGAGTACGCAAGCATATGAACACACACCTATGCAGCTTGTACTGTCCAAATGCTAACTTCAAACTCAGAAGGCATTAAAGTTAATTCTAGTATCCAAAAAGAAAAACATGAAATAAATCTTTCAAGTCTATAAATCAGGAAATAATCATGTCGTGTGTTTCTAACAAAATTGTTCAATCAAAAGGGAGAATAACTCGTATTTGGAAGAATTTCGGGTACGCATCTGCATCACAGTGCTCCATTGATGATATACCTACAAAACAAACGTCATTGAGCGGTGGATTAATAATTTTATATTTCTCTATATTCGATTTAATGTATAATTCTGCGTACTCTTACCCTCCTGAACAGTGCGTCTTCTTACCGTACATGCAATTCGCGCACAAAACAACTCCGAAACGTTGTGCAAAACTTCGCTAACAGAATATTGCACTGCACAGTATTTCCCCAGATAACCTCACAAGTTTCCCACAACAATTACGGAAATGTACCTTGTCTCAACTGCCAAGTATCAAAATTATTGTACCATACCAAAATAACATCATAACGCTCGAAAATAATATTCATCGCCTTAAACTCAACAGCGTCGCCGCTCAACGCCCACGTTCCGTTGGTGACAAGCACGCACTGGCGGCTTCATGTCACTTCATGAACTCGACAAACCCGCGTTGCTAAGCAACCGAAACAGCTGATGCGTACTCTTATCGCCCGCGTACTCTTACCCGCCCTTACCCTAACTCGTATTTGAAGAATTTCGGCTACGCATCTGCATCACAGTGCTCCATTGATGATATACCTACAAAACAAACATCATTGAGCGAAAGATTAATAATTCTATATTTCTGTATATTCGATTTAATGTATAATTCGTATGCCTCCTGAACAGTGCGTCCTCTTACCGTACATGCAATTCGCGCACAAAACAACCCCGAAACGTTGTGCAAAACTTCGCAAACAGAATATTGCACTGTACAGTATTTCCCCAGATAACCTCACAAGTTTCCCACAACAATCACTGAAATGTACCTTATCTCAACTGCCAAGTATCAAAATTATTGTACCATATCATAATAACATCATAACGCTCGAAAATAATATTCATCGCCTTAAACTCAACAGCGTCGCCGCTCAACGCCCACGTTCCGTGGGTGACATGCACGTACTGGCGGCTTCATGTCACTTCATGAACTCGACAAACCCGCGTTGCTAAGCAACCGAAACAGCTGATGCGTACTCTTATCGCCCGCGTACTCTTACCCGCCCTTACCCTAATGTGTGGTTTCAGTCATGGGTATGTTCTGCTTCTGAAGCCTAGGAACGATTAGCCAGACTGCAACGAGACTTTAAATGTAGCTTACATGTATCTTCACCCTTGCAGCTACAACTTTATTACGGAGCGAGCGAAGCGAGCGGAGTCTCATACTGAATTAATGAAAAAAACCTGAGTATGAGCGGCCGGCCGGCCGGCCGGCCGGCCGTGGGGACGCTCTTCAAAAGCTAATATCTTAGGAACGGGACATCCGATTGACAAGCGGTCTTCTTTACTGAATGTCACTTGGACGTAAAAGTTCTGTGGTGTGATGGTAAAGTTGTGGTAAAGTTGGACATTTTTTAAGAACCCCCAAAATTGCAACCTCAATAACGGCACAACGGTTGGGCCGATTGAATTGAAACTCGGTACACAGTTAGGTCTCCATCAGATAATTAATCTGCATGTGTTAAGGTTGGGGTGCTACAGCACGTGCGCACGTGCAGGGGGCGCTCCCAGATCTCGAGAACGGCTGGGCCGATTGCGCTCAAATTTGGTACACGATTGGGGACCAGTTAGTAGGGTGCCGTGCAAAAGTCAGTTTGGACCCCGCTTGCACGTGCGCACGTGCAGTGTGCCGCTTCCAGATCTCGAGAACGGCTAGGCCGATTGCGCTGAAATTTGGCACATCGCTAAAGACCGGTTAGTAGGGTGCAGTGCACAAGTTAGTTGGAGGTACTCCCTCGCAATTTCGCACGTGCAAGGCCCATCCTCTCGCTCGCTCCGTTGGTCGCCCAAAAGGCGTTTTACTGGTCTATTGACGTCTTCTTTTCAATCAGTCCGCATTTAAAAATCGTCGGTCAAAGCCATCCGTTGAGATTGGTAAAACCACTCATTACTTTAGCGGTGGGCTGTAGTTACATCATTCGATGCGCCTTGACGAGCTGAACACGATGAGACCATCCGCGCGTATACAGGGTGTCTCAAAAGCAGGGCTGCGGAGTCGATGGATTTTCGGCGACTCCGACTCCGACTCCGACTCCGGCTTTCAAAAACCAGCTCCGACTCCGACTCCGACTCCGGGCAGAATTGTCGACTCCGACCGACTCCAACTCCCGACTCCGACTCCGCAGACCTAGCAGGGCTGCGGAGTCGACAGATTTTCGGTGACTCCGACTCCGACTCCGGCTCGGGTTTCTAAAATCGACTCCGACTCCGACTCCGACTCCGGTCACAACTGTCGACTCCGACCGACTCCGACTCCGACTCCGACTCCGACTCCGCAGCCCTGCTCAAAAGTTCGTTGACAGGTACCAGTCATGCTTTTTTGTCAATAATTCTGAATCAACGAGAAATTAACAGTCGAAATTTTGCATGGGCATTGGTAACAACCTTCCCCCAGCAGTCGCATTGTTTTCAAGCGCATTCGACCCTTCATGAGCTCACAAAAAGGTTTCACCTCTAACCATGGGTCAGGCATGAAAATGGAGGTCGCAAAATTGGGTCGGCTGAGAAACTCTCTGATTCAGGAGTAATGGGAATGGTTAAGTCGGAAATGACACATGGCAAAGTGTCGGCGAGGATGAGTACAACATGATGATTATCTGATAAAAACGGTGGCTAAAATTTGTGAAGGACGAAACGAAACCATGCGAGACTAACAGCGTTTTGAACGACCTTCGTACGGCAGCAGACTCGTGCTCCGGAAAGCAGCTGAAAATGCGGTTATAACTATTGAAAACTGACCAGAAGCTCACAGACAGAGGTTACCCAGTTTCAAAAATTGCAGGTCATCATAAGA